CCCCCCCCCCCCCCCCCCCCCCAACTAAGAATAGACTTGCCATGACTCATGACTTTGCAACAAAAAGCTCTGTTTGATTCAGCCCTCGTATATTCGTCTCTCTGTTCACACGAGTACCATATAATGCAAGTACCTGTGTGTTGATGTACCTCAGGGACTCTGATCCCCTTGCTATCAGTTGTGTTTGCTTACTGCGGTGCCATTTCGGGCCAGCTGACCGCTCCATACTGTCCTCTCCATGCTTTGCTGACAGGACAACATGGATACTATGAACAATCTGCAGTCATGAGCAAATGAAGGAGCAGAGGGAGCTATGAAGGATCGAGAGGTGTCGGGAGGGATGTTTGGAATACGTACAGGTGGATGTACGTCCTCTATCTGAAGTATCTTTACTGTTGGAATCCAGCAATGCTATTTGTAGCTCTCCGTGTCTGCTTTGGGTGCATTTTATGACGCATTTATGGTTGTATAACTGTAAATTCCTCGCTTTATGGGTGGTTAGAACATCTTGACCCTATTTGATGTCAAAAAATAATTTAAATACTTGTAAAATACATGATTTGGGATGCCCTGGGGCTGATGCTAACACTAAGGATTAATTTGTCTTCCCCGTCTTACACACACGGACACAAGTGATGTCCACTGACCAACACTGGCTTTCAGTTTGCCAGGTTTGTCTCTTTGTGGCGAGCCAGAAGCTGCCCTCACTGAACACATGATGACAGGAATTCCTTCCTGCTCGGGGCTTGATGTAATCCCTAATACAGGATTGAGGAATGCCAGTGAAAACAACACCCTGGTTGCTAAATGAATGAGCGGCTGCCTCGCTGCATCACACAGCAAACAGCCGCAGCGACGAGCCTCGTCTCACAAACCTGTACAGCAATATGCTCCGGGCTTCGGGCTTCAGGCTGGGTTCGGCTTTACTGACAGGATATTGTTTTACTATTTTTGTTGGCCAAACTAAAAAAATTATGTCAGTAGGACATTTTTTAACAAATATTAGTGTGAGGTGTGGATGAATATCGCCTTAATTAATATAGCTTTTCAGGTTTGCCAGGTTAAAAGGCTCAATAATCTTAATTTATGGTATTCTTTTTGGTTATACTAATATGACATATAGGTATAGGCTTAATTAGAGATATTAATGTACAAGTAGCATGCAATGGATTACTCATAAGTCCTAAAATAGGCAATAGTCATAGTTGGTGTGCAGATGCAGCAGCGGGATACTGGTAAGAGGCCTGGAGACATATCCAAATGAAACAACATGATGATGGCGTCTGCTTTCTTTCTTTTTTCTTTATATTTAATGGCGCATAAAACAGATCATTTAACAAAAATCTATAAATAATAATTGAATATGCAAGGGAGGCCAGAAGCCTAAAGGGCTTATCACGAGTCTCCCCCAGTTTTAGTTTAAACAAACAAACTAAACTTAAGTTATTATAATTTTTAACAGAAATAAATGCCTTCAAATGTCTTGTTTTCTCTGACCAACTTTCAAAAATCCTCACAGCAGAGAAGCTGGAACAAGGAAAATGACTTCACTGGTTAATCGACGATCAAAATAGCTGTGGATTAGTTTTGATAACTTATAATATATAGGTCATTTATTGTTATTTTATAAGGAAATGTTCTTGAGTTAAGATGACCAAAAAACACTACTGCTAAGTTAAGTTAAGTTTGGCTTATTTTGTTGGATGATAAAGGACCTACATGAGAGCAGAGGTTGTTTGCATTTTGGTAAGTGTACTGATTTTACATATTTAATTGACAAATGCTCAAACTTTAACTAGAAGCTTTAAAATCTTCTTTCTTTTTATATATTCATCTTTCTTAAGAGTAGATATTTGTCAGTTTATTAGAGTACTAGTGTCTGTAGCCACAGTTTCAAGTGTAACAATTCACAAAATGCAGTGTTTGTCTGTTTAAGTAACCATTTAACTCTCACGTCTCCAGTTCCTGACAGGTTCAACCTACAGATCCTCATCAGTAACACCAGAAAAGACTCGTGTATATACACGTATATATTATACACCCCAACCCCAGACCCACCTACACGTCCTGAACGAGCTGGGTCCCTCTGCTGTCAGGCCTCATGTACTGGAACCCACATTAACCCAGCCACCCAACAATCATCAGCCCCGTACACTATACTTCACCACCTCGCTCCTCTCCGCTGTGGTCGTTCCAGTGTCGGCTAACAACGCTCAAACAGTCACGCTATCCCGCTGCAGTCCCATTCCAGCAACCTAATCATCTTATGGGTAACAATGACACCAGTATTTACTGTAGAGCCATGTTTCTGAACAATGCTACGCATGACAAGCACACCGATGGTGTGCCTGCTGCTGGAGCTTAGCCTCTCTTGAGGTTTAGCACAAGTACGTATATTGATTTAGCTTTCTAGATGTGTTAATTTTAAGGTGACCATTCAAATCCATCGCTGGAGGCGTTTGAGTTGATAGAAAATGATTAGAAGTAATAAACGCCTCGTCATGACATGTATCTCCACCTTTGTTATAAAGTTCTGTAACTTTTAGGGGGTGATAATTGCTTTCATGGGCATTAACTTATTAGTATTGCAGTGTGTTATTTATTATATAGTTTTGAGTCTTGCGCACATTTGCCTTCACATATATGCAGTCTTGATGACACAAGTAAAATACACAGATCATAGTACACAAGGCACCAAATGATGTATGTATTTGACTTTTGAAAGGCACGCAAGGTTTTACCATCGAGCTAATGACAGTCAGTTAAGGTTGTTTTTATCTGCTTTCCTGTGTGCCGTACAGTAAATGTAATCTTTTGTGAGCAGACACTCCAATCAGTCTCCCCTCCTGTATTTAACCAGATATAAATCAGTTGTAAGATACACGAGGAACTCTGAAGTCTTTATCTCTTTGGTCTCTGTTTTCAGGAAGGAGAGGCAGCCTGCTGGGTCTCCTGATGGAAACCGTCTCTCAGTCTGAACAGAGGAGAAAACAACAACAAAAACAACTGTCCCTCTTCTGTGAGGATCAGACTGTGGTCAGACAATGACGGCCGAGTCGCGGCGCTCTGTCTGTGCAGAGGTAACTGTGCCACTGTGCGATTGGTAACTGTGTGTTTGGGCGTATCACACTTCTCCGCATTCAGTAACCTTTTGTATAGTTACCATGACATTGTGTTAGCATCAACACTTACAGCTTCCAAGATCACATTTTCTCATTCATACTTCAATCAAATTCCAGGCCTTATTAAGCGGATCTGCAGGCCTCCTTTTCAGCATATTTTGATTTCCCCACACTAATTAGTGTTTCTGAAGTTTTACCTTAAAGTAAAGGAGCGCTGTGCTCCGCTTTGCAATAACTATTAACCTAGACGTTCACAGAAGTGCTCAGTTGTAATATTATTTGTCGGAGGCTTTTATCCACACACACTTTTGACACTCACCAAGCAGCGAGGCAGCCGTGGAGCTCCTCCATCCACGCGAGTGCACTCCGGCGTTGACATCCACAGGAGTCTGTCCACAGGTGCAGCAGGGCTCTCTCATTGTGTGGGTCACTTCACACTGGCAAACTGTTGACCACAAGCCTCTTCTCTTTTCCCCCTCTCTCTCTCCCTGTGACTGTGTCTCTCTGCTTCACTCAGGCAGTACAACAAGTCAAGGCATGTTCCAACATGCCACCAACAGCTGGACCGGGTGTATGAGCCTGCTCCTAGACCAGAGGGGGAGGAGCAGAGGATTAGAGAGGGGGGAAACCCAGAAAAAAAAACCCCCAGCATGACTCAGCCTGCTTCAGTTAGCATGCACAGCTTTTACTTTTGAGCTCTCTAACACATGAAGGAGTTATTGTTTGAAGGTACATTAAGATTGATTTTCTGGGTGACGTGGTTCACTAGATTTCTTTACAAAAGCAGAGGTGGTGAGATGAAGTGAGGGATGAGGGCAACTGACTGAAAAAGTCTTGCAGAGAAGAACGTTGCTGTATTGGACTGACTTGTCAGATCATCTTTGCCATGTCACAGATTATAAAGAAGCACTTCACGATGTTGTCTATCTTTCTTAGCTGATGCTAAATCCACAGTCTTTTCTGGTAAGCTGAAAGGATGCACGTCAAATTAACAACTACAGTATTGGTTTCTTTTTATCGCATGCAGAATTGATAGTTTACAGAAGCTGTAACTGGGCACCGGCACAGCATGCTGATGAACGCTGATGATTCATCAAATCATCTTATGACCAGGTAAGGCCACATCAATTTCAGATGAAGCGCATCCGTATGAATTACATGGCTGTGAAAATCCTCGGGAATGCATCAGCAAAGATACGGAAAACCTCAGAAATATTCATATTTTCGTGGATCTCTGATGTTTAATGTCAAATATTAATTAAAAAGCAGCTCATTAGTGTAGCTGAGAAAGAACCCGTTATCTGATCCATCAGAGAGAGAGAGAGAGAGATGTATACAAATGTACATTTCATTCTATTAAGCTACTGACACATTCAACCGTATCAAATGTGCAGAATCATCACCATCCATGAGTGCTAATTATGCAGAGCTGCTCTGATGCAAGCTGGTTTTGTTTTTACTAGAGGAGGGCTGATGCCAGTTTATCACTGCTGTAGTGGAAGTTGATCACTCGGCAGATTATGGGTGCAGCGGCAGGAACCAGCTCGGCAAAACCCACCTGCTACAATATGGTCCCAGTCAGGCTGCCTGAGCGTCTCTAAAGCCCCGTACTGTACAACACTGGTGCTGCTCTCCACTGCAGCCCGTCAACAGGCCGATGACCTTATCAATGAAACGGCAAAGTCACTACGATGTTTCGTCCGGAAAGAACTCGAAGCACTTTGCTGCTGCTCGGAGGTTGGTCTTTTCCCTGTAGAGCTGTACAACTTTGTAAGAGAGCAGAAGAGGCGTATTTGCCTGCAGATACTTGCTTTAATCTATTGGAAGGGCTGATGCGGCACTGCACTGCTCGCCAGCGTTTTGACAAAGTGCCAGCAGTAGTTTCACCAACTGAGCTGGTCCTTCATTTATGGAAGCATGAGCGATCCGTTTTGAAAAAGAGTGAAATATGGACAATTGTTGAGCTGGCCCACTCGCAGGAAATCATTTTCTGCAGTTTCAGCTAAATGATCACATAAAAGTGTAATTTATTCATCTTCCTACCTGGGACACAGACTGCAGCTGAGGCCTCACACTTGCGTCTGTGTTCGTCGGGGGGGGGGGGGGAGGGGGGAGGGGAAGGAGCCCCTAGCCCAGCAAGTTCAAAGCTTGCTGCATTGATTACATCATCGAAACTGGAGTGCTGGAACGGGACAATGCACCATCGGGGGGGGGGGGGGCAACTAACTAATCTCTCCAATGCCTCCCTGTGGAGCTTCATGAGCAGTGTGTGTGTGTGTGTGTGTGTGTGTGTGTGTGTGTCTGTCTCTTTCTCCTCTGTCTCTTAACTCAGCCTAGTCCGGTCCGGAGTCAGACGGCCTGCTCTCCCTCATTTACCACCACTGTGTCACGTGACTGAAGGACTGTCTGTGTCTGAGTGAATGATGTGCATGTCTGTGTGCATGTCTGTGTGTGTGTGTGTGCATGTGTGATGTTAGAGGCCAGGCTGCAGGAACTCAGCTGCTGCAGGATACTGCAGGATTGCTGCTCTGCTGCTGGCTCTTGCTTTCTCTCTCTCTATCTGTCTCTCTCTCTCTCTCCCCCTTCTCTAGTCACTCAGGCAAATTGCTCAAGGAGGATGGTGAGAGCATGTGCTGCATACTTTTTCAGTAGGGGAGAGGGTGTGAGTGGAGGAGGGAGGAGGGAGGAGGAGGAGGCAGAATCACAGAGGTGCAAAGCATGCCGGTGAGGCGCTGTGCTGGGCAACTGTACCTCTGAGAGAGACTACAGTAGAGAAATTGGAAATTGGAGACGAGGAAGGGGGAGGGAAGAAGAGGAGAGCGGGCGGGAGGTGGGGGGAGGGCAGAAGTGAGGTGCAAGGAACATCAGGTGAGTGCGGCAATTTCCTTTGCTGGCAGTGCAGCACCCACCCTCAGTGAAAGTGTGAGCAGGAGAACTGCAGATGTTCCAAAAATGATGTCAGTGCTCCGGATGTGGCGTGGACCTGATGTACAGTTCGCTATCACTCTGTCCCCTTCGCTCTCGCCTGCCTGCAGTGTGGAGAAATCCAAAGGCCAGAGAGATGCTTTGGACTTCTGCCTCACAAAGCTGACGACGCAGGGCCGGCTTTTTCAAGGTCTTAGCACAGTTACCTGAGGTGAACTCGGAGCAGACCGAGACTGCTTACAGGCGAGCTGATCTGTCTGGATCCATCATCCAGACGGGTTTCAGAGCACATTTAGAACTGACTCGCTTTAATATGTAGTTCTTTCGCCCACAAACTATTTTTACATAGCCTTTGAATAGGCTCGCACTTGAGCGCAGACAGTGCAATATGGCATAAAAGACAAAAGCAGCAACACAGACTTTTAGAGCAAGAGAGTTGCTGCAGAGATATTATAGTGTTTCTGCTCTGAGAGATCTTTTCATTTCTGTTTTTATCCAAAAGACAAATAACAACTTAATCAACGCATGCACAAACACTTCACTACAAACAAACTCTCTAAAACTCTGCCCTGGTATCCACTTTTAGGATGGAAGGAAAGTCCTAGTAGCTGCAGCACAACTTCATGACTGCACCACAGCTGCCCTGTCCCATGCAGGCCACTGTAGCCTCATTCTCATTGCCCTATTTTCAGCACTCAGACACCGACAGATCAGGACCACTGATACAATAGATCCTTCTTTCCGGTGTCCACTATCATATTCACAACTAACACATGCTGATGAATACAAATCCACACAATCACCAGCAAAAAAAGAGTATGGAGCCGAGACTACGTGTACTCTTCTAAAAGCTAAATCAGCAAAGATGGAAGTCCCCTCTAGTGGAGGAAACTCTTTGTGACCTGGTTAGTCAATTTGTCCTTGGGTCAAATGCAGAGTCTTCTCAACCAGCCGCTATCTGACACGCCGGCTGCTATTTCCAGCCTGTACCATGTGTTAAACATGGATGAGGGGGCAGTGGAGCCTGACTGCTAACTGACTGGCTGTCTGGCTGGTTTTTACTGGTGCAGAGGAGGCTGACAATGTTGAGGCAGAAGCAGCCAAGACAGACGTATATATCAAGTCCCGTAAGGCTGATTTAAGAAGTGTATCATCCCACACAGCGGTAAGACACATAAGAAGACAATATAAAAGGTAAATAAGACAAGAGAGAAAAATGTTTACCCACAGATGAGTCTCGGACGCGGGGCGGAGAGGAGGAAAACTTCTCTGCACTCACTCGGAGCCTCTTGGTTGCTGGTGATGTGCTTCCATGGCGCTGCAAAGTTGACTGCAGCATTGCCTCCTGAACAGAATGACATTGTTTGCACTCTCTCTCTCCTCACTCCTCCTCCTTCTGTACGCGCTCGCTCCCCCTCCTCTTCTTTGCACGCTTGCTGGCAGCATAAACTGCACAGCTCAGCAGTGTTCCCCCACTGCCGCAGCAGATCCTGCATGAGCTCTGCGTATCTGAGTGGGATGGGACTTTTAAAGGGGAATGCAACCTCCAGGGTCAGTGCGTGTGCACATCCTCAGTAGGCCCTCCTCTCCCCTCTGTCCTCCTCTGCAACAACCCCCCCCCCCCCCCCCTTGCAATCCCCCAGAGAATTATCAGTGTAAAGGACTCCTCACAAGAGAGACCCCCTCCACGCACACGTAACTCTTCATCCCCTTTTATTCATTTTCACACTACAGCAAAAGCTGCTTTGAGATATGAGTGTGCTCAAACCTCAATGAGTTTGCTCCACAGAGAGGCCATCTTCTCTGGTGTGCTTTGAAACTTGTCACCAGTCTGAAATCTAATTTCCTAGAGGGATTTCTTCAGGTATGAGTTGCAAAAATGTGTATTTGACCACTTGATAAAAAAAGAATAATTCCATGCTAGATCAAAAAAGGTGACACTGCGTCAAGTTTATTGAAGAAAATGACAGACTTGGTCACCATTTTTAGATAAAGGTTCGTCACCCGGTGATGCACGAAAAAATGCGGTTACTTTATTTTACCAATAAGCAATCGTTAAGATTCATATATCAATCAAGTACATCAACAAAGGACAAAACACGAGGCGCACCACAGCATTATTGCACACAGTACGCTACGCATTTTGACAAATGAGACAAAAAACATGCGATCGGTTAGTGAACGTCGCCATCTAAAAGCTGCTATCTCAACACTTGCTCAAAGTTTCACAATTCCCAAAGGTACAAAATCCCCTTCAGTGAAGGGAAATGTCCTTAATCTGCAATCCCTATTACCTGCCTTTCATTACCCAAGGTGCACTGCTCTACTGGTGCTATTCTGCAGTGCGCTAAAATATAGAAATATCTTGACCAACCAAATTTGTCTTTTGCGCGTTGCACAACTCTGTGAGAGTGAGATCATCCATCATTTAGTCAGCCAATAAGGTTGAGCTTCTCTTCCTGCAATGTCTTTACTTCGCAAAAAAGGCACTTGGTAGTACCCTTCCCGGCTTACAGTGATGACATTTGCGCTGCGCTGCATGGGCTTTGTGTGGATAATGGTGACTTCATTATAAACGTGCTTTAGGTATCAGCCTCTGCAGCAGTGCAGCGCTCTCTGTTTCCCACTGCAGGAGCAAGGCTTTTTTTCCCCTGACTTTGTTCTGCCCCCAGTTGAACCCTGTGATCTTTCATCCTCTGGTGCAAAATTAAGATCTGCATGTATCTCATATTAACCCTGAGTCCATTAAGTCAAGGTGTGTGCTATCCGGTTTTAAGCACATTAGAGTCTGTGTTGTATATATCAAGGCTTTTCTCCCTTATTAGCTTGTATATCTGCCCTTATAAGATACGCCACTGCTGGAACAGATTGCTGAAGCAGCAAAACTCGTATAATGGAACATCTCTGACTGCCGGGGATCAGCTGCATGAGGCTGTCCATATCGGTTAGTGTCGGTATTAATCATATGCATCATGCAGATTATCCATCAGCTGAGAGCAAAACCTCGTTCCCTGCATGTACGGTCTGCATGCAGTGCTGCTGCTGCTGCTGCATCGGTCTGCCGAGCCTCCCGGCATCTGTTGTCTCCTCTGTACTCCGTGACACCGGGGGAAAATGCTCCCGCCAGCATATCCCTCACATAGCCAACGCCATTCTCAGTAATGGCATCCCCTGTGATGAATAAGCCATGAGGAGGGGCACTTTTACATGTCCTATTAGATTACCTCCCTATGCTTTACCTGGCTATACTGTCACCTCATCGCCTCTGGCTCCGCACTCTTCTTAATATTCTCCCTGGTTAGCCCATCCAAGGGCAGAGTGTGTAAATGTGTGTCAGGGCTCATTGATCATATGAATGTAGAAGTTTGGAGTTGAGTCATCTTTGTGGTTCATTGAATGTGTACATACACGACTCTCACTCATGTTTATAATTGACATTGAGCTCTGGGAAAACCGCCCGGCGATTAGCATTTTTTGCAGTTGATAGGAAATGTTTACCTAAATAGGTGATTGTTTTTGTTTGTGTGTGCCTGGGATCACAGCAGACCAACATCATTAGCTTATCAGACATGAGCTGTAACAAACCTGACATAATGCTCATCTGAAGGGAATTTTTAAGAAATAGAAAATATGGACAGTCTTTACACATGCCGATAATGGAGTCGAGTCAGACCATCGGCTGGTGAGTTTGTCTTTTTTTTTGGTCCTTTTTTTTTGCCATTCGCAGCCTATTCCTCAGCCCATTGATCTGCCCAGAAAAAGATAATAGACACATTGATTCACAAGCTCAGCAGCTTGCTTGGTTTACACATCAATTCAGACTAATTCTCAACAGCCCTCAGTCAAGGAGGAGAATTGCTTTGACTGACGACTGACTCCTGGGTCTTTTGAAATGGGAGACTTAAAAGCCGCGCTGAGGAGGTTTTCTTCTCTCTCTCTTTTGGGTGTATGGCATAGCAGAATCTATTTCTGGGAATCTGACAAGATGTAAAATTTAAAAAAGGATTTTGGTGCGCATGAATGATTCTGTGGTTATAAAGGATATTCTCAGGGGAAACCTGACATTAACAATGGAAGACATAGAGTCAGAGGAGGTAATTTGAGGCTCACTTCAGTCGGTCTGGCACAGAGATCGACTGAATGATGGGATCTGGTTTTGTTGGACTAGGTGTGTGGTGTGCTTCACTGCACCAGTGCTTCTTAGTTGATCTCATTTTGTAAAGCGCAGCAGATTCCTCCCGAGGCCGAGTGGAGTGAAAAAGACACACTGTCAACAGCAGAACAGGTCAAACGTGGCTGTAAGCACAAAAGCTGTTTAACATTCAGAATTGTGAATTCTTGATACTAGATGAATTATCCCAGATATAACTTATTTCACTGACATGGAAACACTGGTTCTCCATTTCATCAAAGTATCCCCCCTGACATTACTCACCATCATTTTCAAGATCCCGTTTTGAGAGGCAGAGCTCGATAATGTGAAACGCATGAAGTGCGAGGAGTCATCGGTTTCTCCCCAAGTATGAAATAAATAGTTGTAAAAGGTCGATGACGGATCGACACTATGGTGAGTGTCTGAACTTCTGTCAGCTGGCTGCTCTGTTGTGGCGAATGAGCAGCCGCTCCGTCAGCTGTCGGTGTCAGCAGCAGCCAGTTTGCTCTCCACAGCGCTGTCGAGGCAAAGCATAACGCACCGATCAGCTTTTACTCAGCGAGACTGCAGCGTTGATTAGGCCTTCACAGACGTAGAATATCAATTTCAAGCATTCCTAAGAAATATATCAAGATAGACCGTAAAGAAAAAAAACAGCTCTGTGAGTTGTGTTTTTGTCTGGATTTCTCCTCAGCATTTTAGGTATTTAAATTGGCTGCAGTTAAATGTGCACATTGTAGTGCAGGTTAAGGAAATATTTATCTTATCTGGCAGTATATGTAGATGCCATTAAGCTGTAAACCAGCTAAATTACACCTGTGAATATTAAGGTTTAAGGCTGAATGGCACTCTGTACTTTACGTCGAACTAATTCTAGGTAGATGCAAGTTTACACTGAAAAACAAAACGATCATCTTGAAAGCACTCAAGGACCTCAATTTGATGAAAAATATCCTTTACAGGGAACTGCCACAGTCCATCACTGTAATGCTGCTTTTTTTTCTTAAGAAACATAAATAGTTGTGTGATTGTGTGCCAGAAAACAATATATTGTTTAATAGAAAATGTGTACGTAGTTTCCAGTGTTATTTGTGCCATTTTCATCTGCATAGATGGCGAGCAGCTTGATATTTCGGTCTCCTCCCTGCTGCATTGTGTTCTGCGTTCCAGGTTCTTGGAGGAGTGTTGCATATGCTCCACAACAATCCGTGTCATCTGGAGATGTGTGTTGACTCCTGGCCTACATTCACTACTGCCATTTGTTACCGTCAAAAGCAGGTATGGCACAGAGGGACAAAGATAACTAGTAGGCTCCTCCAGAGTGGCCCGTTGACGTCTATATCTGCCCGTGAAGCATTTCAGCAGCAGCTCCGGGACGATTCCTGACATCCGCACCAAGAACTCGGGACGTCTGAGAAGTCTGCTGCTTAATGAGAGAGTCGTACACTGGAGGAACGGACTCGTCTTCAGAGGTAGTTCGAGTTACCCAGCCTATCTGTGGCACTCAGACACAAACCCATTAAATGCTAGCAAAGACATAAATCTTTACAGATAGTTCACAAATATATACTTTGATTAAAAAAAAAAAGAGGCTTAGTCATTTCCTAAAACAGCTGGGCAGTGTAGCTTTTTAGCAAACGTTACTAAAACAGGAGTATGTTGTGCTTTTGTTGAGAACCATTTTCGCCAATGGATTAATACACACTCTGTGTGCTATTGAGCATTTGTTTGTGGGGTCAACTCTAAATGAACTACAGCAGCTCTGTTCATTGCACAGAAGGAACATGTCACTAAGACATATTAGTCTTTGGATACAATACTTTTTATTCAAACTTGGTTTTGGTCTTTAATGGAAGCTGTTGACAATAACAAACATGTAAAATATCACCAGGCTTATTCTTTAAACTTAAATGTGGAATGTTACAATATTTAGCCTTTTTTCTTATCAAGCCTATTTGTGTTTGGGCTTGCAAATAGTAAATGCTTTGTCACTGCAGTCTGTTCATTAAGGTATTGAGTCAATATAATGCAACACATTTTTAATATCAGAGCAAATACAACAACAACTACACAATGTGTGTTTTTTTCCCCCCAATCAGATGGTTATGTAATATGACATTTTGTTTGTCATGATTAAGGAAGCACCGGTTTGATATGCTGGAATAATATTGCCACAGATACTGATACTTACGGATCAGGTGTCACAATTGATCTGTACTAAATACAATACAATACCATCTTTGCGTCTCTGCTATGAAGTCTTTCAGTCACTGCGTTCGACCGACGTTACCGTCTGTAAAAAGTATTCTGAAGAGTTCCATGCAGTGTGATATGCAGATTTTAAATGTGGAGAAGGGGAGCTCTGGCATCAGATTGGTATTCTGTATGGGTAGATACAGCTACTGAGTTGATGATGAAGGTAAGTTAAAACAAATCATCCCTTTGCTTCTGTGTCTCTGAAAGGTATACCAAGCTCACATTGTCATCTCATCAAAGAACTCGCCTCTCTCAGCGGGCTTGATATTACAGAATATGGGGATTATAACACCTTCATCTGCAAGAGTGAGTTTCTGAAATGTGTTCATGTATTTTCCATTATATTTTGCAGCTATAGAATTTATGACATGCATTTCCTTGATTCATCTTCTTATATTTCTGTTCACATTCTTCTCTGCCGAACCAGGAAGGTGCTGCCGCTGCCAATTTCCATTCTGGATGAGTCCCACGCGGAGCTCGTTGACACACACTTGCCTTATGGAGGCAGCCAGGAGAGCCTCAACCACGTGAGAGCCTGTATCCGCCATCTGCCAAACCACTGTGTGACGGATGAGAAAGGGCCGACCCGTGTCGTGGATGCTGTCTGACGAGCTGTGTGAGCTGAGGATGGCCTTCACCCTACCAGAGTTTTATTGTAAAAATGGAAAATGTAACAATACATTTCCCCTTAGAGAGTTTAGTCTAATTCCTGACAGTAAGCTGCAAGTAGAACAAACTCAAAAATAACATTTCTGTGGCTTAAGGGTGGATTTGATGAATGCCTGCCGTGCTGCTCATTTGTAATCATTGTAAAAATGTCCCTCAATATGAAATAATTCTGTAAGGACTAAACAAAACTTCCGTTTGACCCTCTGGCGTGTGCTGAAGAAAAGACCCCTTAATCTGCAGATCACCCAAGGAGGCTCCCAGTCCACCTGGGACCCCTCCCCGGAGGTGAGCCGTTCCACTGCCGATTGCCTCTTTGTGTTTTAGCAGCAATGCACCACTCAAGTCTGCAGGCCACATGACAAATGAGCAGCGATCTGAGCAGAGGGGATGCTCGTACTGCACCACACATCCTGTCCCATCCACATCCCCCTGCCCCGCAGTGGTGCACCTCTTTTAACTGACTACCTTTCCTTTCTCTAAACCTTCAAGCGCTCTTCTCAGGGTCACACAAACACAGTACACTCTAAATACGTGCTTGCTGACGCATGCACATACAAAGACACGGCTAAAAGAGTGAGGAAACACAAGCCTGTACATTTTTTAGTGCTGCTGCTTTATAGAAATGTAGATCAAAATGTAAACAAGTTGCACAAATTGCCATATTACATACTTAATACTTAAAATAATGATTGTTTTATAGTTCATTTTGGAATGATATGAAATATAACTGCATGTCAATGAAGCTGAAACAATAAATCGATGAATCAAATTGACAACTATTTTGATAACAAAGCTTTTCTCAATTTTTAAAATTGTATTATTTTGTGTGGTTTTGGACTGTTGGTTTGATAAAAACAAGATATTTTAATTTGTCACCTATGTCTCTGAGGAACTGTAACAGACCTTTTTATTATTTTATAGACTAAATGATTATTGAGAAAACAGTGATAACAAATAGTGGGATAAACTGTTTATGTAAAGGTTAAAAAAATAATTACAAGAGGTGAGTATTCCCTGAGTGAATACATTTCTAAACCGTACTCTCCATGCACACTACTCTAATAACTGAAGATTCGTTTTATCTTGTCAAAAGATTTTACAAAGCTGGACTGCACAGGTCTTATATTGCAAGCCATCTACTGAAATATGAGAGGTCTTCTCACCTACAGCATGTATCTGTATCGGTTTGAGAGCTCCACCTCCAATACAGCCAAAGAGGTGTAGGACGATTTAAAAAAAAAAAGGCCCCACGAGAGTTTTATGCAAACTGCATCGGTTGCAGATATTTACTCATCTCGACGCAGATTTGTGAGAACGTGAATTACCTGACGACTGATCTAGTTCTGTGACTTCATCAGTATGTTTCCTGCAACTGTAGCCATCACTTGAGGACAGCATCCACCCACTGGCCCTTCTCAGAAACTGCATCCCAGTGCAAGTGAGTGTCTGACGCAGCATGCGATCATTCTCCTTGGCTGCGAGTGCTGCTCGGACTTGCCTTGGTGCAGCTGTCCACACATAACCCCCCCACCAACACCATCCATCCCAACCCCCCCTACAGAAGCGGTGCACTCTGCCAGCTGTGGAGTGGGACGGACTATCGATCCTGCTGAAATGATGGTTTCTAAAAGGGAGGCAGTAATCATGTCTATGCCCCCCTCCTCAACTGTGGAGGGGGGCCTAAGACATCCCCAAGCTCAGCACATTGCACCATCACCGCATGAGAAAATGTGATTTCCACCGCGAGACAAGCTGAGGGGAAGGTAATTCAAGCCTCCAAGCTATGTTACCCACCAAGGATGTAAAACGAGCCATATTACCTTCAGCCGCCTCACGCAGTGGACAAATAAGGTCATTTTAAATGTCCTATTAGTCCCAGTACTTGTCACAGAGAAATGGGAAAATCTGCACGAGAGCTGAAGTTAAGGACGTGAAGATGTTCATTCAGTAGTCAACCATGCACTGATGAGCAATGTATGCCATCACATACAAGTTGTATGATTTTGCGGGTAATGTTATTGTGAATGAGGGGTAAAGGAATGAAGTGGAGCTTTATGCAGACTGATTTAATAATCTAATGTGAGGATCTACACCTCAAGAAGAAGGTGTTTATTCCAGAGAAACCACTAGATGGCAGCAGTGTCCTAATATTTCCCGACACTCAGGTGAAATTTGGTGCATGTATACAGTTTAATGCTGCGACTCACACAGGGCTGCAGATTCAGAGGGAATTCTGAGCAGGATTTCATATTTGTTAGTGTTCGGTACACAAACCAAAGTTAAACAGGCGTTAATATCATTTACTGGGGTCGCTTTTTCAGGAAAAAAATGAACGTGCTTGGCTCCATTCCCATTTATGAATGAACTTTGTTGTTGTAAAGGGGCCACTGTTACTGAAGATGTGTGCTTGAGAGATTGGAAGTGACCGCATCAGTTGTGCGGCACATGAAGGTTGCATGCTGGGTGCTTTTTGTCCTTGTCAGTCACCATACTTGACATTCCCCTGGGGTCAGTGTGTCAAGTCAGTGGAGTATGATTTGGACTCACTAAGCAGCAGTAACTGACATTTAGGATTTTCACTCGTCTTAACGTCACTCTCTGCTTTTTTTGAAAACCGTGTCAGCAAAGGGACTGAATGGCCTAGAGGTCAAGTTGCACAACAAAGTGCGCCAGTGTGTCATTGTGTGAGCAATCATGGTTCACTGGTGCTGTTGATTGTGTCATGGCCTTGCTGAAGTTGGTTATGTGTGTGTGTGTGTGTGTGTGTGTGTGTGTGACAGACTGTAGTGTGAATTATCAATTATGGATACTTTCACCATCACACATCACATGCATGCCCTTAGGACTGTCAATTATAACTTAATTATTTCCAAGAATGCATTTAAGGAGGACACAAGTACTGAGGAAAACAGAAATTTTCTATTTTTATGGCATAGCCCTAGAGATACCAAGCACAACCCAACAGAGAGTACCACGGACAAGAAGTAAAGCCAAAGCAGCCTTTTATAGTTTCTCTACAAATGAATCCAACTAACAAAGACATGAATGAACAGTGGTTCTGTGACGTCCTACCTGACTTGTTCAGCATGTCAGCTCAGTGTAATCGGCAATTCAGGTTACACATTGAAAGAATCTGTGCTGGTGATGATCACTGAAGTCAGTTTTACATTTGAAAGAGGCATTTACATATGGAAAATAGGATTTTACCTTTAGTTTCTGTTTTTATGCAATATATTTCAATACTAGGTGTGTTCAATTTTGTGTTTATCCATCTATCTTTTTTTACAGTACGTGATATTACAATTGGCTTAAGGTTTGGATATTATTATTTAGCTACAACCTAAATCTATTCTAAATGTATTAACTAATCTTCTTATGAATTAAAGCTGTAAAGACAACTTTTTCATGTGTGTTTGTATATATATCATTTTATTTAAAGTGAATACAAACGTAATTTAATAGTTTCTGTACATGAGCATTTTTTTTACAGTCAGTTGATTTTACAACAACAATACATTAGTATTAATTACAGCATTATTTGGGGTGCTATGGTTTTTATTCGTATCGTTTTATCAATATAACCACTTTGCTGCCACAATGCGTTTTAGGATAATGGAACCACAAAAAAATACATGAAAGGTTTTGAGAAAAAAATAATTTTCTAAAAGCACAAAATTAATATATGAGATATAGAGTGAGTCATTTTGAATTGAACGTGTTTGCGAATGTGATTTAAATATTATTAAAGAAAATAAAAAATCTTAAAATGTTCAGAATTATGCAATACAAATCAAAGCGACATGTGTTTTCTAGTTTCATGAATACATTTACAACACTACACAAAAAACACAGCAACCGCATAAACTGCAGTACCAACATGAAGCTAACTTCTCTCAGGACCGTCAGAAGGGAGGTCCTAATCTAGCAGAGCAGCTGGGAGCATTTTATCACGTGATGCGAGAGATGTTACAGAGCAGCCATCATCATTTCACCTAATTCATGTGCAGCCTGAAATGGTAAAAGGTAAGACTACAAGGAAACGGAAAATTACGATGGAGTAACTAGGAGAAGCCTCTGAAGCCCGTCTCGTCCTCTCTGTTGTTTCCTAACTTTAACAAGGTTAGCGGTGTGCTTTTCACCCCCTTCTCTCCTCTCTCCTTGTTTTCTGATCATATGGTGGCCGCCGAGGCGCTTGTTTCGCTTTCTGTGTGTCCCTTTACGTCACACTTACATACTTTTGTATCAAAAACAACACGCGCTACGGGTTGTCGTTTCCCCCAAACGGCCGGTTTGGAACGAGTAACGAGTCGTTGTGTGTGTGTCCTCGCGCCTCATTAACATTAGCCATGTTGTGGTGCTGTGTATGCTAACAAGGGTTGTGCTGCTTGTTGTGTAACAAACGTTTCGAACGCGGTCGAACAGAAGCAATATTCCTAATCAACGCTTGATGCACGCGCCGCTCCTGTAGGTAGTCGCGCGTGGACGTCCCTTGTTCACACGGCTACCTGGCCCTCGAGCTCATGTGAAGTGTATATAGGCTGCTTTTACGTTAGCTAGCGTGACAAGCTTCTGTGGGTTAACCGGTCCAGAGGGCCTAAACACTCAGGTAAAAGTTTGAGGTGTGACATTACTTAACTTGGACAGCAGACACGACACGTTAACGTCCATTAAGGTTACTGTAACACTGATTATGATGCTGATTCAACTTTATGGTCATTCTGGAGGCTGTCTTGGTACTATTGTTTTTATTTTTTTCAGATATCTTATATATCCTCATTGATATTATGTATTGTCCAACCAATTTATTTCAGTTAGTCTCTACCAAATATTAAAAACTCATCTGAGTGAAATTAATTCCAGTTCTGCAGCACTACATAAACTGCACCCTCCGAAACTACCGGTTCACAACTGAACACAAAGAGTCAGCTGAGCCCATTTCATTCCTCAAACATTGTTTGAATTTCTTCATAGGACATAGAAAATACAGTTCTGTAACAGTTTTCTGCATAACCTCTTTGTACAATGGATGATTTTGTCTTTGGTAAACCCTGAGCTTTGTACACTCAGCAGGTCAACAAACAAGCCAGGGCTTAAGTTCAGGTGGGCCCGGTCTAAATTGGGTCTTACAATAAAGACAAGTGTTTCCTTGGCTCAGCAAATCCAGCGAGTCCTTCCTCCTGCATTTTAATAAGCTGCTAACCCAAACCAGGGGCCCAGGAACCCCCCAACCAGACCAGGCCAGGATCCTAGCCCAAATATATCCCTCCACAAGCCACCTATTATACTACTAATGGCTATGTTTGTTTTGAAGTCCGTGGTAAATGTGTGAAGACCTTTTATTGTTCTTAGTTTTGATTTACTTAAGCATGTGCATTGTGAGGTGGGTCTTTGCTATAGGGAGAGGAATGGTAAACTTCTGGCTCAAAGTACAAATTAACATGTTTCCCTCTCCCTGAATGTTGGACGGGTTGAAAAAGAGATTGTTTACGTTCAGATGCTGGCAACCCGCTGCGTGCTTTTTCTTCCCTCCTGCTTTCCAATCACTGTAGAGACATGACCCATTTAAATGGTTGTTTACTTGCATTAAAAGAAGAGCCAAAGCACTTCTCAATGAACTCTTGTCTACAATTCAATTAGAGTGGCCTTCCCCAGCAACACGGCTTTCCACATTACACAATGCTCTCTCCTCAGCCAAGCTGCAACACGGGCGAAAGTACGAAGACCAAAGAGCAGCATGTAGTCACAGGTCACCATAAAACAAGGGCCTGACTGGTGACCTGAAGTAGTCCCACTGGCATTCAGCTGGGTTTAAAGTTTCAAATGAAGTGTGAATAACAGCTTTAACATTTGGATTCAGGCTCCACAAGAAGTGCCCCATGAAAGCTGTCTATTGTAATGGAGGCGGTGAAGTAAAGCACAGCAGGTATTCAACAGGCCTTTATTGTTCCTGACTCAAAAGAGCTCCGGTCTCAACAGAACATTTAAAAAATAAAATAATGTTTTTAAGCCAGATGTTTTATTACTGCTTTTCCTGTTGCCCTCTGACTAGACAACCATATAATAAGAAATGGCTGGAGTTTTTTCCTCTCCTATTTTTGGAGATTGTGGGAATAGTAGCTGAGTAACGTGTCAATGGGATCTACTCTTGTGTGGCTTTTCATGTCCATTAGCTTTTGAGAAACCAACTCTATTAGGTGTGTGTGTGTGTGTGTGTGTGTGTGTGTGTGTGTGTGTGTGTGTGTGTGTGTGTGTGTGTGT